TCACTCACCCCTCCTTCCCTCACTCACTCACTCACTAACACTCACTCGCTCCCTCACTCACTAACACTCACTCGCTCCCTCACTCACTCACTAACACTCACTCTCTCCCTCATTCAATCACTCACTAACACTCACTGTTTCCCTCATTCAATCACTCACAAACACTCACTCACTTATTCATTTTCTCTTACCCAGGCACTCACCCTATTATTGGCACTCATTCATTAACGCTAACTCACTCATTTACTTAGTCAATACTTGCATTCGCTGATTCACTCTCTACTGGTGCTCATTCACTTACGCACTTCCTCCTTCACTCACTGGCACTTATTCATTCACATATTCTTTGTGCTCACTCACTGGCTCACTCAATTACTTGTTTGCTGGCACTCACTTGCTTACTCACTCAGTACTTGTAGTCATGCAGTTAGAGTCATACAGCACAGAAATAGACCCTTTGGTCTGACCAGTCCATGCAGAACAGAATCCCAAACTAAAGTAGTCCCGCCTGCCTGCTACTGTCCTATAATGCTCCAATCCTTTCCTATTCATATATCCATTCAAATGTCTTTTAAACATTGTAATTGCACCTGCATCCACCACTTCATGAAACAGTTCATTCCACACGCCGACCACCCTCTGAGTAAAATATCTGCCTCATGTCTTTTAAATCTCTCTCTTCTCACCTTAAAAGTGTGCCCACTTGTTTGAAATTACCCATCTTAGGGAAAAGACGATTACTATCGTTTGGATGTATACCTCTCATTATTTTTTATATTTCTATTAGGTCACCTCTCAACCTCTTACTCTCCAATGGAAAAAGTCCCAGCCTATCCAGTCTTTCCTTATAATTCAAACTTTCAATACCCAGCAACATCCCAGTAAATCTATTCTGAACCGTCTCCAGCTTAATAATGCCCTTCCGGTAACTGGGCGACCAGAACTAGACACTGTATTCCAAAAGACGCCTCACCAGTGCCCTGTAAAACCTTAACATAACATCTCAAATCCTATACTCAAAGGACTGAGCAATGAAGGCAAGCATGACAAACGCTTGTTTAACCATCCTGTCAATATGGGATGCAAATTTTTAAGAATTATGTACCTGCACCCCAGGTCCCTCTATTCTACAACACTACGCAAGGCCCTACCATTAATTGTATCAGCACTACCCTTGCTTGTTGTACCAAAATGCAAAACAGCGCATTTAAACAGATTGAACTCCATCTGCCATTTCAGTCCATTGCCCCATTTGATCAAGATCCCTTCTTCACTGTCAACAATGCCACCAATGTTGTTGTCATCCCCAAACTTACTAACCATGCCTTCTATATTCTCATCCAAATTATTTATATAAATGACAAGCAAAAGAGGACCCAGAATCAACTCTGTGGAACACCACTGGTGACAGACCTCCAGTCCAAAAGGCAACCCTCACCATTGCTCTCTGTCTCCAAGCGTTAAGCCAAGTGTGAATCCAAAGGGCAAGCTCACCCTGAAGCCCATTTGACCTAGTTTTATTAATTAGTCTACCATGTGGAACTTTGTCAAAGACTTTACTGAAATCCAACTAAACGACTTCTACCGCTCTGCCATCATCAACCTTTTTGGAAACTTCCTCAAGAAACTCAATCAAGCTTGTGAGACACGATTTTTCTCACACAAAACCGTGTTGATTATCCAAAATCAAATCTTGACCCTCTAAATGTACATAAATCCTATCTGTTATAATCACCTCCAACAATTTACCCACAACCGAAGACAGACTTAGAGGTCTATACTTTCCCGGTTTCTCCTTACAACCTTTATTAAACAAAGGTACAATATTAGCTACCTTCCACTCATCAGGCAACTCACCCATAGTTAGAGATGATGCAAATGTTTCTTCAGGGGTCTCGTAATTTCCTTCCTTACTCCTACAACATTGTTCCCACAACTTCCCACACATCTTATTGACTACAGCTCCAGCTTCAAAAACATTAACCCCTCCAGACTGATCTCAAAACTGTGAGAGCTTGGTCTCGGTTCTGCTCTCAGCAATTGGATCCTCAGTTTTCTGACTCATAGGCTGCAATCAGTGAGGATAGGTAACTGCACCTCTTCCACAATAACATTCAACACAGGAGCTCATCCCCCCAGGGATACATCCTCAGCCCCCTAATGTAATCTGTTTATACCTACAACCGTGTTACCAAATTCTGAATGACCGCCATCTGCAAGTTCACTGATGACACCACCATATCCGACATCGATGAGTCAAAATGCAAAAAATAGAGGGCTTGGTGACATAGTGCAATGAAAACTATCTGTCTCTCAACGTCAGCAAAACTAAAGAACTGATAATCGACTTCAGAAAGAATGGGGGAGAACATGCCCCCATCTACATTAATGGAACTGTGGATGAGAGAATGAAGAACATCAAGTTCCTCGGAGTCATGATAACAGACAGCCTCTGCTGTCTGGATTTCAAACGTAAATGCGACAGTCAAGAAGGCACAACAACGCCTCTGCTTCCTCCGCCATTTGGCCATAATGTCCCTCACCAACTTCTAGAGGTGCACCATTGAAAACATACTGTCCGCGTGCATATTGGCCTGGTATGGCAACTTCTGCCCAGGACTTTAAGAAACTATCGAAGGTGCTGTGCACAACCCAGGCCATTGTGGAAGCCAACCTTCCATCCATGGCTTGCTGCCGTGGAAAAGTGGTCATCATCAAAGACCCATCTGCATCCTGGTAATGATCTCCTACAACCTCTTCCATCAGACAGAAGATACAGAAGCCTGAACACACACACAAGCAGGTTCAGGAACAGTTTCTTTCCGGCCGTTATCAGACTGTTGAATGGGTTCTAGCCACAAATAATGTGACCTGCAATGTAACCTGTACGCCTCTAAATATTTATGATCTGTACATCCTTTGCTTGCTTGATCTGTCTGTACTGCTCGTAAACAAAGCTTTGCACTGTATTTAGGTGCACGTGACAATAAAATCAATCAATCAATCAATATTCTGGGATACATTGGATCAGGCCTCGGAGATTTATTCACCTTTATATTCTCTAAGACCTCTCAAACTTCTTCTGATGTAATGTGAAAGGTTTTTAAAACATCAAAGGTTATTTCTCTGCATTATCTAGACCCCATTTCTTTCTCCACAGTAAAAACTGACGTGAAAAATCCACTTAACATCTCTCTCATCTCCTGGAGTTCAACACAATGACAAGATCCTTGAACTTTAAGCGTCCCTACCCTCTCTTTAGTTAGCCTTTACATCTTAATGTATTTGTAGAATCTCTTTGGATTCTCCTTGACCTTATCTGTCCATGTTATCTTATACCCCCTCTTTGCCTTCCTGATTTCTCCCTTAAGAATGCCCCTACGCTCTTTGTGATGATTCAGAAATTGAATAAGCTGCAGTCAGATTATCCTACGTTTGTTGAACAGCCCGTTACTATGAACCATGTTGAATGATGGATAAGTGTCAATAAGAATATTACTTGATTTTCAAATGCATGTGAATATTTCTTCATGTTGTGGCAGCTTAGACTTTTCCCCACATCACAGCCATACTGTGGTAGACATGTGGAAGACTGAGTTTCCTTTGAATGGAGCCAAAAGGCATAGGGCTCTACAGCAGAGAAAAAGGTCCCTGGCCCCAGCGAGTCTGTGCTGATCAAAAACAATCAGCTAACTATTCTATAACCATTTCCGAGCTCTTGGCCCTGAGCATTATAAGACTTGGCATTGCAAGTGCACATCTAAATACTTCCTCAATGTGATGAGAGTTTCTTCCTGTACTTTACAGGCAGTGAGTTCCAGATTTCCACCATCCCCTGGGTGAAATAATATTACAACAGATCTCCTTTAAACCTCCTGCCTTTGACCTTAAATCTATATTCCCCAGTTACTGATCTCTCCATCAAGGGGAAATGTTTCTTCCTATCTACATAATCTATATTCCTGATAATTTTGTTCATCTAGTTATTTTAAAACTCAATTCCTCCCCCCCTCGAAGGGAAACATCCCCAGCTTGTCCTTAACTGAAACTCTCAGTGCTTATCAGAGAGGGAAAGTTTTCAGCTCCGAATCAAACACATTGCTTTCCTGCTCAAAGATATAGGCTGATAAGTGATAAATTATTAAAGCTTGATAATAGATAGTGCATGGTATATAACTGATAATGGACGTTACATGATTTATATCACATGCTTTAATAGCTATTCTCGATAAGCAATAGTGCATGGTATATAACTGGCAATGCATGTTTCATGTTTTACATTACATGCTCGAATATCTATGCTTGGTAATAGATAGTGCATGTGTATGATTAGTAATGGATGTTTCGTGTTTTATATTACATTTTTGATTATCAATGTTTGTTGGGAGATAGTGCATGGTATATAACTGACGGTACATGTTTTATATTGCACGCTTGATTATTGATGATACACCAATCATGACACAAGGCAACATCCCGGTAAATCTCCTCTCCAGTGCTATCACATCCCTTCTACGATGTGGATTCCAGAATGCACACAATACGTTCGCTGTGGCCTAACCAATGTTTTACACATTTCCACCATCACCTCCTCTCAAACTGTATGGTTCAAATAATTAAGGTCTGATCCCGATATTGACTATGCCTAAATTGTCTAATCTTGGACATTCTTTTGGAGGACTGAAGTGGGAATGGCAGAATACTAGGCCAATCGTGCTGAAGAGGCAGCTATGAGATTGCAATACAGTGCAGTATACAGCAGAAAAATATAATTGCTTTGCTGCTTCTCATTTGTAGGGGTCACAACATTAATGTAGTAGGTCTCTGACACATTTGTATCCACCATGCATCAACATTGCTGAATAAATCCCACTTTATTTCACAGATCAGCGAACTTCAGCTGAGAAACTCAGTGGAAAATGCATCAATCTGGACATGGCAAAGAGCTCTACTGCCTATATATTCACCCAGACAGACACAACAGACCAGGCAGCGATTGACTATATCAGAAAGGAATGGCAAGATAGAAGAGATTTCCTTAAAGTGTGGGAATATGCAGATACAAGTTTGGGACCAAATTGCACCATTCCACTGGGATTGCGCAGGGAGCATTTGATGGCTATTAATGCTTATACTCAACACTCCAGATTGTACCAGGAGTTTAATGCAGCCTCCAGAAAGTATGGAGCAAGTGATGCCATCTATCAGAAGAAGTTCCATTTCAAAAGTTTCCATTATCTCCTCTCTGTAGCTCTGGCTAAGTTTCAGCAAAAGGAGCGGCTCACTTTCCGTGGAGTTCAGAACCTATTCAATGCCACAAAGGGAGACAAAGTCCGGCTGGGTCAATTCTCATCCACCTCTTTACGCCAGTCAGTAGCCATGCAGTTCATGAACAGAAATTCCAAGTCCAACACGCTGTTTGAAATAAAGACCAAGCTGGGGGTGCTCATCAAACAATTCTCAGACTTCAAGGATGAAGACGAAGTCCTGATCCCACCCACCGAGGTCTTCAAAGTTAAAAACAAACCGCAGTGGGAAAAGAAAGACAATATGAAGTGGATCAAGATTAAACTTGCTTCGAGCGGATGCGAGGGTATCAAGGTGATGGTAGACACTTACAATGGCAAATTCGAAGTCAGAAGAGGGAAAAGGAACTTCTCCAGAGTTGGTCAGCTCTTCCCAGGCAGAAAACCTTGTCAGCTTGGAATGAAAGACATCACTTCCCAGCTCAACAATAAGAAACTGGTAGCTAACAGATTATAAAGGCTTGATAATAGATAGTGCATGTCACATACTGAAAGTGCATGCTTCATGGTTTATATTACATTCTTGATTATCAATGCTCGTTAAATGATAGTGCACGGTATATAACTGATAATGCATGCTTCATGTTTTTTATTGCATACTTGATTGCCAATGCTTGACAATACTGCACAGTATATAATTGATATTGCATGTTCATATTTTATATTGCATGCTTGATTAACAATGCTCGCTAATCGATAGTTCATGGTCGATAACTGATAGGACACACTTCATTTCTTATATACTTACCTGATTATTGATGCTTGATAATAGTTAGTGCAAGATACGCAACATGCTTCATGCTTTAGATAACGTACTTGATTATCAATACTTTCTGAAAGAAAAGTTCATGATATATAAGGATAGTGCACGCTTCATATTTCATATTACATGCTTAATTATCAATTCTTGAAAATAATGCATAAAACACAACTAATAGTACTTGCTTCAGGCTTTATATAACGTACTTGATTATTAATGCTTGATAATAGATAGTGCATGGTATAGAACTGATGGTGCGTGCTTCATTTTTTTTTACAGTGCATGCTTCCTTTTTGGTGATTCAACAATCGTGACTCAATGCTTCGTTGATAGTTGATGGCTAATTGATATTATTTTGAGTGTTGCTGGGCAGAAAAAAAAAATCACACACACACCTCGTCGAAGCTTTTAGGCTCAAACTGATTTGGGTGTTCTGAATAGGTCCAATGTATTTTGAAACAACAAATTCATGATGTGTGAAAAGAGAATAGAGATAGGTTGACAAATTGATTCTGTTTGACAGAGGCCATAGCTGCCATAGATAATAGACCATTTATATGATGATTGTCAGTTAATTGCCAAGCTTCACTTAACTTTTATACAGGCATGTTGACTCTGATGTTTCATAGCATTGCCCTGAAAAATGAGCGAGATGATGATTGTTAAATTGGAACAGGAATAATGCATGTACTTTACTTTTGTCTGTGTGGCCCTGTAAGCCCTGATACATGTAAGGTGGAAAACATTGATTAAACGTGTCTTTTTCAGAAATGATCAAATTATTAACTATCAAACAATTATTGAGAGCAAGATGGTTATTTTGTTGACTGTCTGTAGGGAGTTTGCACATTCTCCATGTGTCTGTGTGGGTTTCGTCTGGATGCTCCAATTTCTTCCCACAGTTCAAAGATGTGCAGATTAAATGGATTGACCGTGCTAAATTTCCCTGCAGTGTCCAGGGATGTGAAGGCCAGGTGCATTGGCCACGGTAAATCAGGGTTTGGCCGGATAGGCTGGGGGAATGGCTTCGGATGCATTTCGGAGGATTGGGCCGAATGGCCTCATTTGGGCACTGCAGGAATTCGATTCTATTTGAATTCTAACATTGGTAATAATGACATTGCAGGTTTCAGAACTTCAATAGTTGTTCATGGATTAAAAGAATCAGCAATAACTCTTTCTGGAATAAATTGCTCCCAGAGATAAAAGGAAAAGGAAGTTAAAACAATTCGTTATCTGGGAAAAGAAGGGGTTCAAGTTACATAAAGAAACCGCTTGAAAACTCGCCACAGTGCTAAATGATTGCCCTGAAGAAGAATTTATGGAGTTAATGATAGGACATATTGTTTTTCGAACCAACAACTAACACTGTCTGTGACAAGGAAAAGAGAAATTAGTTTGAGAACAACTGACTTTCACTCCTGGTAAGTAAGCAAGCGACAGATTTAGTGACCTCAGAAGTGTCACAAATAATGTCACACCATGAGCTTAACAATATAGAAAATCCTGCAAGAATTCAACTTCTTCAGCAGCAGAACACTGGAGAGCAACGCTGCACAAGGATCAAACTCTGGACCTATCAAGAGACAGATGGTTTTGGATGGAATCTTAGCTATATTCCACCATTAATTGGGTAATAGCTAAGTTGAATTGTGAGGCCTAATTTGCCGACATGAAGGAAATTATTTTTGGCTGCTACATACAATAAAGCTTAAATCGTTGTTTCAGTATTTGGTTGTCTGAGAGATTTCTTCATAAGTCACTGAATTAAAGGTAGCTTGTGGTAATTTACCCCCAACACTATTACTGTCATACTTATGCTTGACTGCACTGATACATCTCACTCAGTGTCCTTTCTGACCTTGTGTTTGAAAAATAACCTATAATTATTTTATTGATGCATATTTCAGTACATGTGAATTTCTGTACCAGTGCGTGCCTCCACCTGCACTTCAGAATATAACGGCCGATGACCAAATGAGCACAGATTTGGTAGCAGAAGTAGTCCACTTAGCTCCCCTGCTCACTATTTTCATGGCTGAGCTCATCACTACATAATCTCGTCGTGGATGGAGAACCTTTCAATTCCTTGCTTACCACGAATTTATTTAGATCTGCCTTACAAATATTCAACTTCTATGTATTCACTGCCTATTGAGAAGGAATATTCCAAAAACAATCTTCTGAGAACATCAGAAAGTAAGGGAGAGAACAAGAGAGAGAGAGAGAACGAGTGAGTGCAGAGAGAGACAGTGAGAGAGAATGAGAGAAGAAGTGAGCAAGGGTGAGAGCGCGAGATAGATAGTGTGTGAAAGAGAGAGAGTGAGGAGAGAGAGATAATGAGAGACCCTATGCTCGAGGGAGAGAGCAAGAGAGAGAGTAATCAGGGAGAAACAGAATGAGCAGGAGAGCTAGAACAACCAAACGAGAGACAGAACGAGAGAGAGCGAGCAAGGGAGAGTGTGAGTGAGACAATGGATGAGCAAGAAAGAGAGTGAGGAAGATGGAGAGTGTGAATGGCTGACCGAGAGAAAGGGAAGGAAAAAGTGATGAGAGACAGAGGGAGACAGTAAGCCAGACAAAGAGAAAGAGATTGAGAAAGAGTGTGTGATGGACAGAATGAGTGGGAGAGAGTGAGAAAGAGTGAGAATAAGGAAGGAACAGAGCAAGAAGAGAGAATACGTGAGAGGGAGTGACCAGATTAGAGGGAAAGTGAGCAGAGAGAGCATGAGCAAGAGAGTGAGCGAGGGAGAGAGAGAAAGATTAAGTGAGTGATTGAGTGAACGAGACAGTGAGTGAGAGTGCAAGAGACAGAGCGAGTAAGTGAGAAAGAGAGAAAGTGGGAGAGTAAGTCAGAGCATGAAAGAGACAGAGTGACAGACCAAATCAGAAAGTGAGCAAGAGAGCAAAAGGTGGGGTGAGAAAGAGAGAGAAAGTGTGATTGAGAGAGAGAAAGTGAGAGACAATGAGAGAGAGAGTATGCAAGGGAAAGAACGAATGAGAAAAAAAACTCGAGAAAGACAGAGTGAGAGAAAGAAAGTGTGATTGAGATCAAGACCAAGGCAGCGAGTCTGTGTGAGAGGGTAAGAGAGAGAACAAGGGAGTATGAGGGAGAGTGTATGAGAGAATGAGTGAGAGAAAACAAACAATCCAGTGAGCAAGTGAGAGACCGAGCAGGAGGGCAAGAGAGCATGAAAGTGTGTGAGAGAGATAGAGGGAGCAAGAGAGAGAGCATGAGAGAACAAGCATGAGAGAACGAGAGAGAAAGAGCAAGCAAGCAGAGAGGGCAAGAGAGAGGCTGAAATAGAGAGAGAGAGAGAGAGAGAGAGAGAGCCAATAGAGACAGAAAGTATGGATGAGGCCAAGGGAGTGAGTGAAACAGAGAAAGAGTGAGCAAGTAACAAGTATCTGGCTCTCCAAACAGTATTTGAGGGTGAGGCGATGGCCGAGTGTTATTATTGCTGGACTGTTAATCCAGAAACTCAGGTAATATTCTGGCATTCTGGGTTTGAATACCACCATGTCAGATTGTGGAATTTGAAATCAATAAAAACCTGGAATTGGGGTCTAATGAAGATGTGGAGATGCCAATGTTGGACCGGGGTGGACAAAGTCAGAAGTAACATGACACCAGGTTCATCACCTGGTGAAAGAGTCACGCTCTGAAAGGTTGTGATTTCAAATAAACCTGCTGGACTATAACCAGGGGTCTAATCATGATCATGAATCTATTGTTAATGGGAAACTCCATCTGGCCATTTTGGGAAGAAAATCTTCCATCGTTACCTGGCCTGGCCATCATGTGACGAGTGCAATTCAGTGGTTAGCGCGGCTGCTTCACAGTGCCAGGGACCCAGGTTTGATTACACCCTCGGTGACTGTCTGTGTGGAGTTTGTAAGTCCTCCTCCTGTCTGTAAAGTCACACCTCAGCCTCCAAAGCTCCCTACAGCTCAAAACCTCCAAACTTAGCAACATCTTATAAATCTTATCTGCACCATCTCAAGTCTAACAACATCCTTCACGTAGAAGGTGACCAGAATTGTATGCAGTATCATTAACATGGCCACACCAATGTCCTGTACAGATGCAACATGATATCCCATCTCCTAATACTGTGTGCTGGTCTGTTCGACCCAGTGTAAGAAGGATTTGATTGCATTCGAGTGGGTATAGAGGAGATTCACTATGATGTTGCCTGAAATGGAGCATTTCAGCTCTAGACAGAGTCTGCCTAGGGTGAAGAAGTTGCATTATAACAAGGGTTGTTTGCCTCAGACTGGAAAGGGCTGGGGACTTGAGGGGCAACTGATTGAGTTTTATGAGGGGCATCCATAGGAAGAAACACTTCACCTCTTTCTATCGAATGATCAATAACTACAGGACATTGATTCAAGGTAAATAGAAGGAGGCTAAAGGATAGTTTGCAAGATATTTCCGCCCAGAAGGTGAGGGCTGTCTGGAATGCTCTCCTTGAAAAGGTGGTAATGGCAGGAGCTATCACACTATTCACGAAATACTTAAATGATCACTTGAACTGCCAAGGCTACAGGCCAAGTGCTGGAAATGGGACTGGAGCAGATTGGGGCAGTGGCTGGTATGGAGCAGACTGGGGTAGAAGTGCCTGTGTGTCTGCTGTAAAACTGTACGATTCTTTATGTAGTCATCTGAATGTTAAGTTCAGGATTGTCACTGGGATATTTGTTTTTACTTCAATCCTGTGATGTTGGTGTTTTTGTCTAGGCCAGTATTTCTTGTGCAGAGAGCAGTTAAGACTTAGACACATTACAATAAATCTGGATTCACATGTAGGCA